AAAAAACAAATAAAAGCACACATTTTAACAGTCCTTTATGTTTGATTACATTCATTTTCCTTATATTAATTATGTTAACAAATATTCTCTATTCTGAAGCCATTCTTTCGACAATGTTGAAAACATGTGTAATGCAATGCAAAGTAAAAGGAGATTATTCTTTTATATTATCGAGTAAAAACCACATTGTTTCCCTTTTGGTATCATTTGTGTCACCAGATATGTTTTAGGGTTAAGGTTAGGTTTAATGTTAAACTGATGATTAAAATTGCTAATTATTTTGAGACAGATTATTGTTGACTGAACGGGACAAATTCTGTCTGGTGAGATTCTGTCTTTAGTGGGATTGTTGTTTTCATTCAGGCATAACATTATAAACATCCAAAACATGTAGAAATTATTTTAATTAAGAAAGTGCTTTAAGCTAGCAATGTGAAATAATGACTTGGAACAGAAATAAATGTCCAGAAGTGTTCAGAAGGGATTTGGTGACACCTAGGGATCCACAGCGGTACTGCAGGGGTTTTGCTAAATAGTGTGTGACGCCAAACTAATTTAAATTTAAACCATTTGTAAAATTGTAGGCCTATATGAAAGTATAGTAATTGATTATTCAATAACAATTACTTAAATGCTCTTGCAGTTGTAGAATTATAACAAAGTGAAATACATGCCTTAGTCCTGAAAAAAGCTGAAGAACTCAGTGCTCGGAATAAAAATGGTGACCGGAGTCTCCTGGTTTGCAAGCATGTATTTATTTATAATTTTGCATATGGACACTGGTAGGTTGCTTTTTAATTAGGTAGAACATTTCAAGTAGTAGCAGCCTCATATACCGTACCTGTCAACATAATAAGTACCGTATTGACCCGAATATAAGACGATGTTTTTTTCTCGGAAATACATCTGAAAAAACGCGGTGGTCTTATATTCAGGGTCTAGACTTTGACATGTCAATAATACATCCACAACAATAGGTGGCGCCAAATACGCATAAAAAGAGTGCGCCATGAAATACGTAATGCAATGCGTGTTGTAAATATCGCGAGTAAAAACTAAAGAAAAAGAAAAGCTTACAGCTGCATGAGTCGTGACGGTCACGTTAGCCTGATGCGACCAAACTCTCTTTGTGATTTTAAAACGTAAGACAGTACCCAGATTTGAAGACTACAGTAAGATTGAACTTCTACTGTTAATACGAGTTTGGTGGATAGCCTAAATGTCCGAATTCAGATGGGCTACCGTTTTTTTTGTTTTGTTTTTTTAATGGTATATCAAAAAGTGTATATTTTTTAAATGTGATTCTTGGTACATTTGACCAGTTTTTACCATACTTTCAAAACAAAAATTCAAATAGGAAAAATATGCAATATGAAAATAATTGAAAACAAAATGTGTTTTACTGAGAAAAAAACAAGGTTTTGTTTTTAAAAAGCCTTTTTCCAAAAAGCCATTACGGTAATATTATTTACAATTGTATGCACGATTGTTATATTTACAATAATTAGGCTATAATTACTTATACAGGCTATATTATTTAATAAGTCAATTAACAAAAATACATACATTTTTAAATAAGTAAAAGCGACCCTTTTTTATTTGTCACGTATATTTGAACCGCGCATGACGCAGGGTGACGCGGAGTTTGTCCCTCGTGCGTTTCCGTCTGACGTCTACAGGAGACTGACGTGTCTTTTCTCGCAGAAGTTTCAGCGTGAGATTATTAAGAACTGATTAGAAAATCAAGAATTAATTACATGCTTCAGTGCGACGAGAACACTAGTTCTGTAATTAAGTGGTGTCATGGCGGCAGACTGGGAGGAGATCAGGCGTCTAGCTGCGGACTTTCAGAGAGCTCAGTTTGCAGATACTGTCCAAAGGTAAAAACCATGTTGTTGTTGAGCTTCATCCCGCGCCCTGCTTTCTTATGTCTTGAAGCAGTATATCCTGAACAAGAACTTGCAAACTGACAAGAGTCTTGAGCCACAAAGTATTGGAACGCTGACGGCTCAGTTTCACGCGACATTAATGGTCGCGCGATAAAACCTCGTCGGTAGTTACTAACAGCACTACTGTGTAACGCGTCTCTATCCGTGAGCTGCTCTTCTGTTGTAACTGCAGGTGTTTGGGTCGTGTCATGATGCTCAATGATGCTCTTTGGACTCTTACAGTGTCTAGCACGTTGTAGCATACAGTACAGTTCGGAACTCATGTAGTACCATATGTCATTACGAGTAACAACATGCAGTTTTGTGCAGATGTTGTTCTTTTTATGTCCAAAAAGCAAGATGCACTGTTGCCAACTCATTTTCAGGGGAAGCTGCTAAAGGAAGGTCGATTTGTTGCTGAAAGCTGCTAAATGACGTTGTGATGTCATTGCGCGATGACGTCATTACGTAACCACGACGCAAAAATTGTGTCGCTGCGTCAAATCTCATTTTTTATGTTAATTTGGATTTGTTCGTAGAATAATATAAATGCGTAATGTAATGTTAAATATAAATAACTTTTTATATACAGCATTGAATTGTTGAACGAAAATGTACACATTTTTGAAGAATTACAGGTTTTTGAAGAATTACAGTGAATTACCGTATCGGGCCGAATATAAGAGGACCCTGATTATAAGACGACCACCCTTTTTCCAGATGTACCTTTTGGAAAAAAGGCTTTTTAAAAACCAAATCTTGTTTTTTTTTCAGTAAAAAAACATTTTGTTTTCAATTATTTTCATATTGCGTATTTTTCCTATTTGAATTTTTGTTTTGAAAGTATGGTAAAAACTGGTCAAATGTAGCAACAATCACATTTAAAAAAAAATTTATTTTTTGATATACCATAAAATAAAATAAAAAAAAACGGTAGCCCATCTGAATTCGGACATTTAGGCTATCCGTCTAATAGTAGCCTACCAAAATCTTATTAACAGTAGAAGTTAAATCTTACTGTAGTCTTCAAATCTGGGTACTGTCTTACGTTTTAAAATCACAAAGGGAGTTTGTGACTTTTCTTTCTCTTTAGTTTTTACTCGCGATCTTTACAACACGCATTACCTTACGTATTTCATGGCACACTGGTTTTATGCGTATTTGGCGCCACCTATTGTTGTGGGTGTATTATTGACATGTCAAAGTCTAGACCCTGAATATAAGACCACCGTGTTTTTTCAGATGTATTTCCAAGAAAAAAACATCTTCTTATATTCGGGTCAATACGGTAGTAAAACTACACATTCTGACCAATTAGTTTTAAGCAGTGTATTAGTAGTCAGTGTGCTACACTCTAAGAAAATAATTCACAGGTTTTTACCGGCATTTTAAACGACGCATTGTATTTTGTGTTTCGGGTTAAAGGGTTTACAATGGATAACGGATAATGTCCTGGAAGATTACTAGAAGCCTACCTTTTCCATTTTTCTAGATATTTTTCTTACAGTGTACTAACTGATCAACAATCACAGGTACAACAAGGTGTATCATAAATGAGCAATTATTAAATTATTATTATTATTATCAAATTGAACAATTGCAAATAGCAATAATTTAATTCACGAGATGTGTGTACTGCTAGGCATCTTTGGTTTCCTTTTTTTTTTTTAATTTAGATGGAAAATGTGTGCCTTTTATTGTTCGAGTCACTTATCAAGAGTTGCTAAAAGTAGCCAAATAAAATTTAAAAATAGCTAAATTTGTTGTTAGGTGCTTTTGGAAGAAAAAGTTGCTAGGGTAGTCTGAAAAGTTGCTAAATTGGCAACACTGGTAAGATGAAATTCTGATAGTTTATAAGATAAATCAGTGCGATTCTTGTAAAAGTATAGCAGACTATTATAATGCATATTAACATCAGTTGTCACTCTTTATCGCCTATAATATGACTTTAGAGAAATACTATGTATATTTAAATAATATCTTAATAATGCAATACAATGACGATTGACAGATGCACAAATAATGACTTTAATAAGTATACTGTATGTATGAGTCTACTAAACAACTGTTCGAATCTAATGTTTTGCTTTATATTTTAAGGGAGGATTAATGTTGTGGATCTACAAAAGGTTGGTTTGATATATAACATAACACAAACATTTTATAGTTTTTCTATGCATCTTATGAAGGAGGGCAGATTTTATGTGAATGCATTTTTTTAAAGGAAGTGTTCACCTCAAAATACTTTTTTTTTTTTTTTCCTTTGGTACTCCATCCAAGATGTAGATGAATCTGTCTCTTCGTCGGATCAGATTTGGAGAAATTTAGCATCACATCACTTGCTCAGCAATGGATGTTCTGCAGTGAATGGGTGCCGTCAGAATGAGAGTCCAAACAGCTGATAAAAACATCACAATAATCCACACGACTCCTTATTATTGCTTCCTTCAGTACTCGCACATCAAAATCCATGAACATATTGTTTAGTACAGTTTTTGCTTGATTGGTGCATATTTCTCTCCTGATTCAGGCAAACTTTTTCACTGAAAATAATCAATATTTTGGATAGAGGACTGGCATTTTAGCCTGAGGCAACGGTTTGAAGTTAAAAACGGCTTTTGGCTTCACAAGATGTTAACTGATGGACTGAAGTGGTGTGGATTATTGTGACGTCTTTATCAGCTGTTTGGACTCTCATTCTGACGGCACCCATTCACTGCAGAGCATCCACTGGTGAACATGTGATGGAATGCAACATTTCTTTAAAGGGGTCATCTGATGCTATTTCAAGTTTTCCTTTCTCTTTGGAGTGTTACAAGCTCTTGGTGCATAAAGAAGATCTGTAAAGTTGCAAAGACTAAAGTCTCTCCGATGAAGGAACATCAACATCATGTCCCGAGGGTGAACAAATTTTAATTTTTGTGTGAACTAGTCCTTTAATGATTCTTTAATGTTTCTCACAGATCATCAATGTCGATTTGGTGCATGTGGAGAGCAGAGCAAGTGAAATCGCCAAATCAGACAAAGGCACACAGATCATTCTGGGTCAACTGATTGACGAGTGAGTGAAAAACTAATACAGCGTTACTTGTTGAAGAGAGGGAAAACTATTGAAAATGCTCTTCAGTTCTGTCAATATGTTAGTAAACTTTGTAGGTGGCTTATGTGTCATGCAGTTATAAATTTCTTCTCCTGTAAAGAACATACTTAGATCGGCTTGCTGAGGAGGTGAATGATAAACTCCAGCAGGCTGGACAGGTGAACATCGCAGAGCTTTGCAAAACGTATGATCTACCAGGAGATTTTCTTACTGAGGTTAGTCCAGTCTGCGTGAAGTATTGAGATTCTTCTTGTTAGAATGCATCTTTATGAGAAACAATCTTTCAGCGGTTTGTGGAAACCTGCTTGCATTGCAGTTACAGTAATTGTCAAACTGTGGTGTGTCTGTCTGCATCTAGAGTTGTTCTCATAAGTTTACATACCCCTTGCAAAATGTGCAAGAGGGATCTTGAAAATTGCATGTTATTTTTTTTATTTAGCACTGTCCTGAATAAGCTATTTCACATAACAGATGTTTACATATACCCCACAAGACAAAATAATAACTGAATTTATAAAAATGACCCCATTCAAAAGTTTACATGAATCTTAATTGATTGATGTAAGCCTTATGTAAACTGCTTGTTATAAATTTTTTTCCAGATCAATCTACACTCCATACACCATAATGACGAAGCAAAAACAGAACTGTCACAACTTTGTAAATTTATTAGAAATAAAAAAAACTGAAATAAGTACATTGCATAAGTATTCTTAGCTGAAGCACCTTTACAGCCTCAAGTCCTTTTGGGTATGATACAACAAGCTTTGCACATCAACATTTGGCAATTATCTGCCATTCTTCTCCTCGCCTCTCCACCTCTCAAGCTCTGTCAGGTCGGATGGGGCCAGACACACATTTTCAGGTTTCTCCAGAAATATTTGATTGGGTTCAAGCCCAGTCTCTGGCTGGGCCACTCAAGGACATTCACAGGGTTGTCTATAAGCCACTCTTGCTGTGTGCTTAGGGTCATTGTCCTGTTGGAAGGTGAACCTTCTGCCCAGTCTGCTGTTCTGAATGCTCTGGACTGGGTTTTCATTATCTCAATGTTTTGGTGCATTTAGCTTTTCTTCTACTCTGACGAGTCCCTCAGTCCCTGCCGCTGAAAAACAGCCCCACAGCATGAGGCTGCTACCAGCACACTTTACTTTTGGGAAGGTACTCTGCAGGTGATGAGCAGAGCTGGTTTCCTTCAAACATGATGCTTGGAATTGAGATTCATCAGACCAGAAAATTTTGTTTCTCAGAGTCTGGGGGTCCTTTAGGTGCTGTTTTGCAAATTCCAAGTGTGTTTTCGTGTGTCTTCACCGGTGTGGCCAAACTGAGGATTGAGTTTGGCCACACCGCTATAAAGCCCAGATCGGTGGAGTGTTGCAGTGATGTTTGTCCTTCTGTAGGTTTCTCCTGTCTCCACATATGATCATGGAGCTCAACTAGAGTGACCATCAGGTTCTTGGTCACCACTCTAACCAAATCCCTTCTCCATTAATTGCTCAGTTTGTCCAGGAGGCCAGCATTAGGAAGAGTCCTGGTTGTTCCAAACGTCTAAATGAAGGTTACGTGATTCTGTGAACCTTCAATGCAGCAGAATTTTGCTGAACACTTCCCCAGATGTGTGGTTTGATGCAATCCTGTTTCTGAGCTCTACAGGCAGTTATTTTGACCTCAGGGCTTGGTTTTTGCTCTGATATGCATTTTCAGCTGTTAGACCTTTTATTAAGTCATGTGTGCCTTTCCAAATCATATACATTCAATTGAATTTGCCACAGGTTAAATTCACTTGAAGTGTAGTAACATCTACAAGCAATATGAATGCTCCTGATCTAAAGTTCAACTGTCCCAGAATCAATTAAGTTTTTTTTTATTTTTAATACATTTGCAAAGATGTTAAAAGCCTGTTTTTTGCTTTGCCATTATAGTGTATGGAGTGTAGAATGATGTGGGGGAAAAAAAGTAATTTAAAGCAATTTTAACATAAGGCAGCAACATAACAAAACGTGAAAAAAAATGAAGAGGTATGAATACTTTCGCAAGGCACTGTATGTGTCATTTCCTGGATGATCCACGACTGTTTTTATATTTTGTGATAGTTGTTCATGAGTCCCTTGTTGGTCCTGAGCAGTTCAACTGCCTGCTGTTCTAAAATCCCTCAGCTCCTGCACATTCTTTAGTTTTCCAGCATCTTCTACATATTTGCACCCTTTTCCAACAGTGACTGTATGATTTTGAAATCCATCTTTTAACACTTAGGACAACTGAGGGACTCCTACACAACTATTACAAAAGGACACATAGCATTAAGATTAAAGGGTATGTAAACTTTTGAATGGTGAGTATATGTAAACATCTATGTGAAATAGCTTATTAAGGACAGTACTAAATAAAAAATATGTAAACTTATGGGTATGTAAACTTATGAGCACAACTGTAAATCACATTAAATAATAATAATAACCCTTCCTTTTCCACAGCATGATTTAAAAATGTTCCAAAGAGCATCTTGTGGGCTTCAGTAGAAGCAAGAAAACCTGACCTTTTGTACAAAGTAGCTAATGTAGTCAATTTGGATAATTGATTTACTCATTATTTTTATACCATAACATTTATTTGTGTTACGTTTTTAAAAAAAAATACTAGAACATTATATGAGCAACACATACTTCTTTTCCAGTTGTAACAAAATGGTCTTTTGACTGCATTCTCGGACAGTTTAACGGAAAGTTTAACACTCTGCTAGGAGCTGAACTCGAGGCTGGGCAGAGCGATCCACGGTCAGATTGATCAGTACAACAGGGGAGTGATCTTCACACAAGCGTTCCTCTCCAGACACAAAGCTTGCATATGCGGTCTGTTCAGTGCCATCACAAGGTAAGTAACTCCACCCCCTGTCTGTATCATGGGATAGATAATGGAAAATATATAATAATAATAATTTACTATTACTAAGTTATCAAAATAATGTGCTGTTATCAGCCTGTTGATTAAAGTGTTAGTTTAACCAAAAATGAAAATGACTCATTCCAAACCCATAAGACTTTTGTTCATCTTTGAAACACAAATGTATTTTTAATAACGCCTGAGAGATTTCTATCCAAAATGTTCATAAAGTGATCATGAAAAGTAATCAATATGATTAACAGATTTAATTTAAGCTTTTATTCACATATACTACCGACCAACACTCAATCATAGTACACATGAAATATGTTAACAGAGCTCAAAAATCTCATGGGTTTTGAAATAATGGTCAATTTTAAGTTAACTAACCGTGTAATTGTTGAACCAATGCACATTAGATTTATTTTTATAAATCTCCTAAGAATCTCTGATTTCTCGTATTTGTCAATGGAATATTTTTATGTCTTACCTTTTTTGAGGGGCATGCATGTGCAGTCCAGTGCAAGGCTTCTCTCCACTTGTGTGGTCAGCGAGAAGTTCATCGCGGGATGCATCGCTTTGTTTGATGATATTATGCAACAGAAAGCACAGAAGGTATGCAAGCTTTTTCTGTACACTACACACCTGGAGTACCTGCACACATCATATTAAAATGACAAAATTGCCTGTTTTCACATTTTAATGTTCAAGTCCAAAATCATTTGTTAATGAAAAATCAAGTGCGCTAGCCAAAAAAGTTCAAGTTTGCTGGTTTTGCAGAATCTTCCATAAATGTCTACGTGGCAAGTGCTTGAATTAACATTAATATTAACATCAGTCTCATGAGTTCCAAGTAGGGTTATTATCATTAATTGTCTTTGTCTTTTTTTTAACCTTTATTTATATAGCACTTTTAACAATACAGATTGTGTCAAATAGCTTTACAGTATAAATAGGAAAATAGTGTGTCAATAATGCTAAATGACAATAGTAAACACTCAATTTTCAGTTAAAGGCAGTTCATCATTGAAGTCAGTGATGGCATCATCTAGCTCAGTTCAGTTTAGATAGTGTCTGTGCAATCAAGTCGACGATATCGCTGGATATTCAGTGTCCCCAACTAAGCAAGCCAGAGGCGACAGCGGCAAGGAACCAAAACTCCATCGGTGACAGAATGGAGAAAAAGCCTTGGGAGAAACCAGGCTCAGTCGAGGGGCCAGTTCTCCTCTGCCCAGACGAAACCAGCAGTTCAATTCCAGGCTGCAGCAAAGTCAGATTGTGCAGAGGACTCAACTGGTTCATAACTTTAACTAAAACATCTAAAACATATTTGTTATTTGAAATAATGCAAAAAAAAAAATATTAAATGAAAATTAGAATTGTTGCCTTGGCAACTAACTTGAAAAAGTTGAAGCATTAAAATACGATATAAAAATCAATAAAAACTATATCTACATTTTTTTAAGAATTAAATCAAATCGATTAGTAATAATAACATGACAAAAGCACTGAACAGAATTACTAAACATTAAACTAAAATAAAAACTAGAAATGAAAATATATAAATTAAATCAAAAATATTAATGGATGAACAAATAACAAGACATCAGCACATTTTTGGTGAACACACTGGCTTGAAAGCGTTATTTCCAGCAAGAAATAGCATAATTCTAGACTAAAACATTTGAAGGGGGTTGTCACTGGATGTGTTTAACTGCTCTGCTTTAACAATAGGAAGTGAAGAATAACCCAGTGTTTCTGATAACGGAGGATGATGTCAAACAAGCGTCTGTTTTGTTGGAGTCTTCAGCCTCTTCAAAGAAAGACAAACGAGACGAACGCCGGAAGAAGGCCTCAGGTAAAGAGTTAATTTTAGATAATCGCTTCAGATAATCACATTAATTAATTTTTAAGGCCTCTGTGAAATCAGAATTGGAGGTTTTTTGTGGCTTTTCATCCATGCTTGCTCTTAGTGTCATAACCATCTGTATGCTAGTGTCCATATTGACCAAATGCAGGGCAAATAAACGCAAAATTTCAAATTTACAGTCGCTCTCCTCCAGGAAGAACTCATTACACTCGGGGTCATATGCAAATGTTTTTCTCTCTGCAATACCATCTAACACTAAGCTTAGCAATAGAGAAGCCATTCACAGTTAATGGCTGTGATGCAAGCTAAAAGCTAGTAGGGAGGAAAAGGTATGGCTTGATAAGCTCAATTATTATACATCACTCAGATTGTTTTTTTTCTTTCTATAATTTTCATAACTTGCAGTAGTTTTTAATTCTTGTAGTAAAACATGCTGTTGATTGCCTGCTGTTGGCTTTTTATGTTCCTCAGAGGGCAGCGGAAGCGTGAAAGGAAGTGGAGGTGGAAATGCTCGAGAGATCCGAATTCGCAAAACAAAAAAGAAGGGCAGGAGGGAGGAAGACAGTGATGAGGAGACGACACACACCTCTCAGGGTAGAAACTTCGCATTTATTAGTTACTGTTCATTTTTAAAACGGCATATAAACATGCTGATTTATCCTATTGATGCTTATTTATATTTGTATTATTTAACTTGTTGAAATTGTTTTTGTGTATATAGAAATTTGCAAGCTTTACTAACCTTGCTTTGTGTTGAAGTATTGTTTATTTTTAATTCATGTTAGCTATTTCTTAACTAATGTTAACGAGTTTTATCTCTGTAAAACCTTTCTGGTGAAATGTATAATGGTAGTAGGAAACAGCTGTTTTAATTAGTGACCTTGCATGTGTTACAGGCCGAAATAAGCAAGGAGACATGCCCTTCCTCTCAGTGGAGGAGATCATGGGGGTGCTGGGGGAGAAAGTGTGTGACAGCTCTGAGGAGATGCTGCAGGAACTAGCAGAGCAGATACAAAGGTACAAACCATGATATTCAAGCATATGTAGGCCAAAAATTTGGAATTGGAATAGTTTGGAATGGATTAGAATTGTTTGAAAGACCATCTCTCCATTAAAAAAAAATGCTGCATTAATGATATCTTGTTAGTGTTGGTCTAAGCATTAACAGCTGTTCATTCAGATTAAAATATTTATCTCACCAATGTATTTTCATACAGAACATTAATTTTGGTGTGAACAGATCTTGAGTCTCTTGAGGTTTTTTTTGCCAGGCCATTGAGCAAAATGTACCAGGAAGTGGTCAGTGCAGCTTTCATGTCCACAAGTTCAGCAGGAGGGAGTCGGAAGAAAAACATGAAGGATCTTCAGGAGGAGATCACCAACTTGTACAACAACATCCGCCTCTTTGAGAAAGGAACCAAACTCTTCTCAGGTTTGTTTGTGTCCATCTCAGTCGTTCTATAGAAAAAAAACGTTGCATACTTTTTATAGTGGTTCAGTCATCAAGTGTACACAATTTACAGAAGTGACGGCATTGTGCTTGTCTGTCCTCCGCTAACTTTTGTGCTTTTTTTTTCTCTATACACACCAGATGAGACGCAGGCTACCATTGCCAAGCATGTTTTGAAGACCGTATGCACGGATGCGACCAATGTGCTGCTGAGCTTTGTGGCAGCTGAGCATATGACCTCGGACAGCTCGACTGCCATCACCAGTGAGGTACAACCTCTTGCTATTCCATATACAGCATTCATAGCACAGTTAACTTCCCACCCCTGTGCTGCTCCTGGCTGGTGCAGTCCACCAGAATTCGATTGGATTGTGAGAATTTGACTGATTTCAACTTTTTCTCCTTAGATGTTGGTAGAAATTAGATCAGAAGCAGTGCCAGTGTATAAACATACCAAATTGTAATAGACTGAATTAAGATGCAATTTGCGAATTAACCAATGAAGAAGCCATGCATAAAAACAAAAAAAATTCAATTAAATGAATGGACCATTCTGCTTCCACTTTGTTATTAGTAAATTTGGTTGAACTGAACCCCAGACACACAATAATAATGGGTAAAAATTAGAGCCCGACCGATATATCGTTTTGCCGATATTATCGGCCGATATGAGCCTGTCGCTGATATATCGGTATCGGCGAATATTTTTTTTTACAGAACATGTAATGCAGATAAAATGCTTGAAATGGTGTAATTACTTAGTGTGTCCAGCTCCATTGTTTGATACTGGCGACCTGGATGAAACGTTTAAAGCTTAAGTCAATGGAAAACCATTGAAACTTTGATGGGCCATATCGCTGTAACGGCGTGGCGAATCCGCACCAAATTTGGGGTATCTCTTCAGTTCAAGGAACCCTCTCGAACGCGAATCGAGTGTACGTCTCGAGGCCCTCTTTCGAATGAGACCACCCTGAAATGTGTTGATAGCCCCCGGGCTTCGGGAGTTACGGGTGGTTAAATTCGCGGTCCGGCACCGACCGATCTAGTGATCCCGGAGGGCTACCAACGCGCTGAGGGTGGCGTTCGAGAGGGCTCCTCGAGCTGAAGGGATCCCCCGAATTTGGTGGAGATCCGCCGGCACGTTCACGAGATAGTGACACCAGTCAACACTTTCCCTTCAGTAAGGAGGTTTCTTGTTCAGGCAGCATTCACGCATTGTCTTATTCGACCGTAAGTGCCCTGCGAATTGGACTTCACATGAAATTCCGCCATGATTCCAGTTCCAAGGGAACGTACACGTTACATTCAAAGGGCATTAAAGTGTGTGAGACATGAATTTATATTGTATTTATTTACAGAGGTAGGGGAGAGCGGGGCACAAAGTAACACTTTTTGACTTTCTCAGTTTGTGTAAATCCACATGGGGTTCAGAATATATATAATTTTTTATCCACGGTAATTTTACACTTGTTGTGTTTGCTGAGGAAGAGGTTTGGATCAGATCTGAGCAGGACAACAGTCTGTCAGTTCTGCAGCGTTGAGAAGAAGCTCATCAACACTGTGGCTGTTAAAACAGACCTCCTGAGAGACGAGGCCAGAGACATCAACTCTCTCCGATTCTCCAGTAGAAGCAGCTTACAGTTAAATTGGCTGAAAAAACCCCACACGTCTATGCCTCTCTCTCTTTTACATAAGTGGTGTGTCTGTTTGTTACTGTGTTGCAGATCAGGCTGAAGATTCTGGCGAAGCTCTCAGATGAAGTTAAATCTCCTCTGATGAAGCTACACAACAGTCTCAGTGGAAAGGTGTGTTTGATGACGCAACATGGAATCTGTGCTCACAGAATTGCTCAAATTTCAGTTCAAACGCCTGACTTTTACACAGTTCTACACATCTCCTGTTTTTATCAATATTTAAATCATTTGATAATGCTTTCGATTATGAAATGTCATCATGTTTAAAGCCATTCTAGAGAATTCCACAGATTTTCCCAAAATTAATGGAGAAAACATGAAAAATACTACATATTCCATGACATTTTACTGTCAGTTGTCATGGGTTGGAAGAGCAAAGTAGCAGATCTTGTTTTTATCACTTGCAGGCCATTGAAGACTTTTTGTCATGTTTGGAGATGAGTGCAGAAGAGTGTGGGCTTCTTCTGAAGAAAGGCGACAAGAAAAGAGAAAGGTATAACCACTTCATTCCCCAGCACTACACTGGTATCGATCACTGAAGTGTCTCTTCTTTAGTAATCAGATTGTCTGTTTTTATTCTTCTTCAGTCATAGGCATTGCTTTAAGGAAGCCTAAAGTTAACGTGCTGATTAAAAAAAAAAATGACGGGTCGACTTGAGCTAACAAGTATTTGCTTTGCGGAAGATTCAGTTCTCCAAAGCAGCAACAGCATCACTGATTATAATGGGTTCTATTGTCTTGTGTTGTGTTATTGTACCATGCCTATATGTTTGGTAACACATACTTTATACAAACCTTGGCTTTTCTCTGCCGCATTTTAAAACCACTTCTTCATGTACAAAGCATCCATGTCAAGTCACCTTATAGTGCTTTTATAGCAGCTGTAATAGTGTATTATTAAACAGGGAAAGTAACAGAATCAATGATGCAGACTTCAACAATGAGGCAAATCATGTGATCATATAATTCATTTGATTCAAATTTTTAAATGTATAACTATAGCTATTTAGAAGCAAATGCAGAGTTTACATATGGTTGGTGTGTGTTTGCAGGCAGGCTCTCTTTGTGCACCGCCAGGCTCTGTCGGAGCAGTTGAAGGATACAGAAGACCCTGCGCTTGTGCTGCATCTGACCAGTGTCTTGCTCTTCCAGAACGTCACACACTGCATGCTGCATGCCCCTGGACGCTGCGTGCCGCATATCATTGGCTTCCTGCAAAGCAAGATTCCTGAGGTAACCATTTGTGCCCTAAACCTACAGTAAAATCCAGCTGTGCAAAAAAAATTAATAAAAAAACCTGAAATATACAAAAAGATTTTTTCTCGGTCAGAGTCATTGCACACACTCCACGGGAAAAACAGGGGACAAACAATGATAAATATAAATACTAAAATGCCATATGTGACCCTGGACCACAAAACCAGTAATAAGGGTCAGTTTTTTGAAATTGAGATTTATACATGAATAAATAAGCTTGCCATTGATGTATGGTTTGTTAGGATAGGACAATATTTGGCCGAGATACAACTATTTGAATATCCGAGGGTGCAAAAAAATTCAAATATAAAGAAATTGCCTTTAAAGTTGTCCAAATGAAGTTCTTCGCAATGCATATTACTAATCAAAAATTAAGTTGAGATATATTTATGGCAGGAAATTTACAAAATATCTACATGGAACATGATCTTTACTTAATATCCTAATGATTTTTGGCATAAAAGAAAAATCGGTCATTTTGACCCATACAATGTATTGATGGCTGTTTCTACAAAAATACTTGTGCTACTTATGACTGGTTTTGTGCTCCAGGGTCACATATGCTTGTGCATAGGTAGTATAGCAAAATGCAATGTATAATTAAACAAATTCTGTATCATATGGCACCATGACAAATCTACAAAAACACATGAGCTATGCATTTGTCTGTGTGTGTGTGTGTTTTTTAGGAGCAGCACAAGCTGTTGTCTCAGTACCAGAGTCTGGTGGTCAAGCAGCTGGTAGTGCAGGGTCATGCCCTGGAGAAGAAGAGCAATCTGGGAGAGGGAGCCCAAGATGGTCCTGTTGTTTCTGATGATATGGAGGGCCTTCAGAAAGAGCTTCACACTCTCACCAGGGACATTAAAGACATCATCCTTTCTCAGAGAAAACCGTCTGTCACAGAATAACACAGTTGTTCGCAACAACGCCGTTAATGTATTCTGCTACATCATGTATTAGAGCTCTCATTTTAAATCTGTGAAATAAACAGACTGAATTCAACCTGGCAACACATTTCCAGCAGAAAGTGACATTTTTTTGTGCTCCTGAGACATTGGTGTCTCATATTGTAATTAAATTAGTAAAAATACACAATGCCATTCCATGTAACTAGTTACTCCCCAAAACTGCAAACTACTGGAAAAACACTAGAAGTCTTGCCATTTGGAAATGCTCGTCTAACCATCATTATTTGATCAAAGTCACTCAGATCTTTTCGCTTTTTCTCACATTTTTCCTGCTTCCAACACATGAAACTCAAAAACTTGACTGTTCACTTGACAAGTGCCACTGTAACAATATAATCAATGCTATTCACTTCACCAGTTTTAATGTTGTGTCATCATTAGATGAAACTAGAACACGAATTTACGTTTTAATTAAAAAAGATAATTGCACCAAACAGTGAAAACATTGCCTCCTTTTTTCCGACCACCACATGCCTTTGTGTGATGTCAAGGTAACACAAAAATCAAAGTTGGAAAGCCTGCCTAACAAATGTGCACTAGGTGGTGATCAGTGATCCTGTGTAGAATGTGCTTCTCTCAAAAGAGCCTTTTATCACTGTCAAGTGCCTGCCATTAGAATCAGGTACAAATCAGTTGCTCATTAAAGAGAAGACCACACCTTCAGTTCAGTTCAATAAACTGGCCTGGTATATGGGCATAAGCATCGAAGTACATCTTACAGTCATGACAAGAAAAAAAGAGCTGCCTGAGGCACATGAATCTGGAAAGGGATTTAAAGCCTCGTCCAGTACTGCTGTATGTAAAATGCCTTTGGCCTGAGACATGCTGGGATAGACTCTGCGACCATACACTGGATAAAGGGGCACAGAAAATGAACCGAACGATAGACAAATGAAATATCCACAGGAGCACTCATGATTTCAGATTCTATAAATATGACAAACGACAAGCCACATAATTATGATTTCACACCCGCCCACATTCCTGCAACCTGATTAAAATGTACTGTCGTCTAAATGGATATTTTCTCGCAAAAGATATTAACACTGCACAACATGTAATGGGCATCAATTAATACATTTCCACTGATTGTTCTGAAAGCACATCAAGTTTAAAAATGAAATATATTTGACTGTATTGAACTATAATCGTTTACTCGATAAGTGTACTGATGTTGCTGCATGCATTTCATTTGTCCATCAGAAAGACTTTTGACATCCATGATTTCTGACTTTGAGGAGCAGGGGCGCCGCTACGGTTTTTGGGCCCCCTGGACAGCATATTCACTCGGGGCCCCCCGTAAATCATGTTCCGAGTAAATCACGTTCCGGGGGGATCCCTCTCGGTAGAAATTGCGTTTCCCCCTCGGGGGCCCCCCTCCATCGCCGGGCCTTTAGAATCGTCCCCCCCACTCCCACCGCGCCCCTGTTGAAGAGAACTGAATAACTTACATTTGGTACAACAGCTGAAAGAGTTTTTGCAAGGGACACGATTTTATAAAATTCTGTGTAATTTCTTAAAAAGTCTGTTTGAATATGTGGGGAATCAAGGTCAATGTAGTCGAGTCACCATTATTTATATAGAGCTTTTTACAATGCAGATTGTGTCAAAGCAGCTTTACAGTTAACGGCATCTCCAAAAAACAAAAACTCCCACCAGAGTGTACAAACTCTAAATAACACAAGCTGGCTGCCAAGTAATACATACTGTTGCTAAGTAATAGCGTTCCACACATTGGTTCTAATGAGCTTCTAAAGCCCACAGCATCCTCATTAGCGGTGGCTGGAGAAATAATGAGCCCCACAAGGGACACTAGTAAAGGAAAATTACCTTTCAGATTCAAAAAGCTTCAGGGTTTACCTCCAGCCTCAGAACAAATCATCATCTAAATGAAGGCGGCACACTACAAAGGCTCAGACGGACACTGTAGAAGCAGATCAACCCTTCGCTGCAGTCTCAACTGATGCTTACCATTTGACATTGAGAGGGAAAAAAATATCCTTCAGTTGGTTGATTGGTTGTTTGTTTTTAATGGCATGTCAGCAACAAGCAATTGGTTTGATGCTGTTCATATGATATATAAAACAACCTTGTGCTGTACACAAATATCGATGGGGTTCCCCTACCTTTCGGCCGATACACTTCTGAGACCTTTCCAATCAGTCGATTAAAAATTATTTGAAGTAAAACTGAACGAAGATTACACAACGAGTCATAACTAGAAAAATGTATATGACCACACAAATTCCATGAGTTTTAATTTGATTAATTTCCATGATTTTATTCACTTGGAGTCATGGAAATCACAATTTTAAAATTCACATTAAAAATCATGTATCTCCACAAAGTCATCTACTTATCAGTTTGGAACATGCTGCTTACACCTTTGTAAAATGCCTTTCCTTTAGTTCCACACTGAAAATAATTGAAAACTGAGCAATCCTCCCTAGCTGAGCAATCAACAATAAAATGAAATAGAAAATAGTTAAGTGTAAAACAGAACCACAAAGCCAGAAAAGAAACAAAAGAAACAAAAACAAATACAGCACACAAAATCGTATTACATTCATGGCATAAAACAGAAGATTGCACATTTTCACCAAATATAGCAGCACCTGACTTGAACAAACTTTTATTACGATCTAAATCCTATAAAAAACATTGTGCAATTAAAGTAGTTTAATGTACAGACTCTGTAAACCATCTCATCTGTACAAACTTTTACAGCTAAAAACATCCTGCGGTTCGAAGAAAGACCAAACATATCACAGCTTGATAAGATTGTACCATAGGAATTACAAAAGAAGCTTCAGAAACGTCCTCCACTACACCGCAGATCGATGCTCCCCGCACACATAAACAGCACTGGGGCGGATACGTCTCTTTGTGTGGCCAGGCAGTGGCGGCAAGAACTTGAAGTACTTGGGCATCAGGTCAAGGCAGGCGTCACGGAACTTCTTGATTCGCCAGTAGTAGATGAGAGGATTCAGGGCCGATTTGAGGTAGCAGATCCACAGCAGCCACGTGCTGATCTCAAAAAAGTTCTGCCGGTAGTAGAAGGCACGACTGAAGGTGGACAGCAGGCTGTAGGTGGCGAACGGAGCCCAGCATGTGGTGAAGACTGAGAACAGAATGAGGATCGTGGTGAAGGCACGTGTTTTGAAGCTCATGTCAACGTTCATCTGAAAGGGCCTCTGCAGGCTCATCAGACCCAGCTTGCTGGCCTGGCTGAGGCACAGCGAGTCGGGGTGGGAGTGGATGCGCAGCGCATTGTGCCGGAGCGTACTCAAGATGCCCATGAACGTGTAAAGCATCACCAGGAATGGTACAAAGAAGAACACCAGCATAATGAGCATCACATAAGCATGGTCACCACGCTCAACCGAGTAGCCAAAAACACACTGCGGTGCTCTGGGGGGAATGTACAGGGCCGGATGGCCAATGGAAAGCGGGAAAGAAAAGCAGAAAGACAGAGACCACGAGACGGCGATCAACACTTTGGCACTGCGTGGACTAAGTTTGTCCTGCTTTTGCACGATGATTAGGAAGCGGTCCACGCTGATGATCATCAAAATAGCCACGCCCTCCATCAGGAACATCCAGAAGAACATGGCCGAGACGCGGCAAAACGCCTCTCCGAAGATCCAGCGCGTGGTCACCGTTGTGACTAGCGCAAAGGGCATGTTGAGGACCGCTAACATCATATCGGCAAAGGCGAGACTGGCCAGCAAGATGTTAATAGCGGAACGCATAGCGGCTCTCTGGTAAACCATGAGGCAGACCACCATGTTTCCGAGGAAGGCCAGCAGCAGCACGCAGATGATGACCAGGCCAAAGAACACCTGGAGGGGCAGGTTCAGGCCCTGAACAGGGTCCTGCCAAACGGTTGAAGGCGTTACGTATTCCGATAGCGCCCGGAGCTCTAGTGAGCTGTTGAATTTTGCCGAGGAATTCTCCATGGCTCTTGTACCTGCTGGCTGGGTCAGCACCTTGGGCGTGGGGTACAGGGTGGCACTAGGCTGCCCTGAAGCCATGGGTGGATTAGTGGAGGAATAAAGCATGCTTCTTTTTGCATTTACATGGTAAAGAGAGCACACTCAGCCTCTCGGACAGGCCACTAGCACACATCTCAGCATGGAGGCAGACCCTGTGGAAGCAGAAAAAATTAGGAATTAGGAAATCAGTCATGCAAGAATGTCACAAAAAATCAGGTTTAACAATCAGGCTGCAGGTTTAAAGCTTAATTTGAGGAAGCCATTCCCAGATAGCTTTGTTTTTGCCAGAAACTGCCAGCTCGCAGTGATGTCCGGCTGCTTTGTCTGGGTGAATTGCTGGCAGTGTGAACCCTGCTTGACAGTGAATATTGACAATGTGACAAAGTTGAACAAAACTGTGAGTTTTTTAGTGTTCTCTGGGCAACAGTCTCCAGTGTTGGAGTCTGTACTTGACTTTAAGCGTGTTGTTAACTTACTGTCCACCTTAATCCCAAAATATACTTTGGTTTGTATCAGGCATACATACAGTGCAAGTGCTGTAAATTTCATTATCAGCATAGTGTCCAGGGGCCTCATTTATCAACAGTGCATAGAAAAGGTTCTATATTTTGTCCTTGTACTTAAATGTAGGAATGTGTGTAAATATAAGTTGGCCCAGATTTTTCAAACCACGCATACACTGTACATTTAGCTCACATAGGCACCATCTGCATTTTGCACTAATTACTACATCCACAAGATGGCAACACTGTCCCGGTCCTTTATTGTACAGAAAACAGATGAGATGGTACAAAAACAAAGATTGCCAGATTGGGCGGATCTCTGCCCGATTGGGTGGTTTTGAATTTGATTTAGGGTAGGGTGGCCATACGTGCCATTTTTCCTGGACGCGTCCTGGCCAGGATTTCTATATTGCCTAAAATATCTAGGTTTTGGCTTTGTTTGCGTGCGGAGACCGATCGGTGTATGACATCAAAATACCATACAGACGGTTCCTTATGCTTTCAAAAGGCTCTCGAGATACAATGATGTCAAACAC